TCGGTGACTCGGTCGAGACTCAACACCATTTTATTTTCTGCAGCCTAAAGGTTACCTGAGCCTTCTCCCTACCAACAATACTTTCTCCTTTTTCTTCATCTACTTCCTTTTGAGAGAGACAAGGGACACGTGTTAGGAAGTATATCTCTTAAACAAATGTTAAAAATGCCATTAAAGCAATACAGCCCCTTATATAAATGAACTGTGTAATTATACATTTGCAAAAATAAGCATGAAGTTATAGTATGTGTACTATACATAAAATATAGGATATTCACAATATATGATAAATATTATAATATAAGAAATACAGGTAGCTGTGGTTTATGTAATATACTGTATGTGCCACATACAAATATACACAAAGCAACAAATCTTCACATATGGAAACAAATTTAAGCAGCAAATATTTTGCTTGATGAATGGCCTTAATGATTGTCTTTATAGCTCAGTATCACAAATCACAAATGTGCCTCAAGCCACTTTAAAATCTGGACATCATTCAACATCCTATATCCTTAGAACCTCATTTCAGATAAGGAAAACTCGCCCAAAAAGCCTTTAACGGGGAAAAAAAGTGGAAGATGCCTCAAGAAGAGCAAGAGAGGAGGCCTCCTTCTTCCAGAACAGAAAAACATGCAATAGATGTTTACAGAATAGACCAACATAGCAAAATTACATTATGGACAATAAGGATAATAAAATTATAGATTGTATGTAAACATATATGAAGAATATGATCCTGGAGGACCCTTAACAGGTCAGAAGGTAAGACTACACGTCATTCACACAGAAGGGAGAAGAGACAAGGGAGCCATACACACACTAATACTTTAATATGATATTAATGAATGAATGAAATGTTTCACAACCTGGGTCCATGGTGGAATGAACACTGTTGGGGGCCCGACCTCCTCCTTTTCTCACTCTATAATAATGTTCTACAATAATCTTGCTGAAACGATTTATGCTGTTGTTCTTCTTGTGAGGATACGCTCCTTATCGCAGGTGACACAGATTAATGTAAAGAGATTCACTGGTTAAATAACGAACCTAAAAACCAAAGAACACAAACTGTATTAATCATATTCCGGTGACTCATTTGCATCAGTGCCACACTCACTCACATTCACACACATTTATTGCACATACAGTTTCACAACACTCCTACACACACTTGCACACTGTGCAGCTCAGCATTGGGTATTTTTGAACACAGTGTTGTTGGGTAGCCTGTTATACAATATGTGTCTCAGGGACAGCCAGTCTTACTCTGACCTGTTTTCTATCTCAGTGGGAAGGTGGGAAGAGACAAGCAGGCACGACTCACTATTGTCCTTCCAGAGACGGAGAGCGCGCGCGCGCGAGAGAGAGAGAGAGAGAGAGAGAGAGAGAGACAGAGAGAGATTAAAAGTTATCATCTCCGCCAATGGGCATTTCTACTGAATTATACTGAAGAGAAACTATAAATGATCACTGCAGCCACTGCAGAGAGAAAAAGGTGAGGGGGCGTTGTGATGTGAGGTGCATTTGATATGAAAATGTAATTTTCAAGTTTTGATGCTCTAGAAAAGGAGGGTTTAAATTTAAGAACACGTAGAGTTAATGTTGATGATACTGACATGCCGTGATGAGACCTTTAACCTCATCTCTGTGCCTTTATTTCCACATTTATTATATAATTTAAATTATTGTTCGTAGAAATGTTTGGTTTATTTTATATACATCCCTTACCATCACCACCCGATCGGTCTAGTGTACATTCTTTAGATTGTTTTTGTATATAAATTTACTGTCTCTATATGCATTTTTGCCTCTATTAGATGTTAAACTGCAAAACTACAGTAAACACTTTACTCCATAGTGAGCAATAAAGATATAAATCACAATATTTTTATCAAAAAACAACAACATTGCTGTTAATGCTAAGCTCTTCTCTCTCTAGATATATGAAGAGCTGCAGGTCTGAAGAAAGAAGAAGTCAGAATATATATATATATATATATATATATTTTGGTCAACATTTTATGTCTGATTCACAGCTTTGCTCTCACCGACGCCGCTCTCTCTTTTTTGATTCATTCTCTCTGCTCTCACTCTCTCTCTCTTTATACTATATAATCCATTCTGGAAGAGCCTGCATTCACAATACATATTTAAACTAAATATATATTTGTGTAATTATTGCATAACCACATGCATGATTCTGTGACTTCTTCCACTTGCTGTGCCAGTTCTGCCAATCATTCAACAAACCTTTTAGGTAACAGATACTTTTTTGTCACCTGTGCTGTGTGTCATCATGTGAAAGAGTTTATTTCAAACATGACCTCCTGACACTACCGCCTCACCACAGTGGCTAAATACATGCATGCGTTGTGTAACGATAAGGGAGTCATATTCTCATACAGTAAACAATGTGGGGGTTTTGCGTACGGACAGAGGCACAAAATGAAACTGGAACATAACATACATAATTAACAGAGGAATTGTGTCAGAAGGAAAGCGTGTGTGTCACTTTAACACCAATTCACACCCTAGCCCACAAACTCTTCCATATAATAAAGCTAGTAAACCTCTCAGTGACCCTGAGTCTACACCACTCCAGACACTTTTCATTAGTCTCTACTTTCACAGCTTCACACACTGGTCTTTTGAGCTTTGGTATAACAGGCAAAGCATTGCCAATACATTTTCATTTCATAACTATAGTGGAATATGGTCACTTTCTGTATTAATTAGAAACGTCAGGAGGTAAGAAAAACACATGAATGTATTTGTATTTTGAGCCTGATGAAATAGTTTGAATTGCTTTTTTCAGTGCTATGGATGGGGTTCAATGGATGGCAGTGTTCCTCTATTGGTCCACCACTCTGGTCCAGACTGAACTATTGAATGGACATTCATGGTTTCCGGATGATGAATCTTAACGGTCAAGTTACGACTCAAAAGTTTAGTTGTTCTGAATGGAACTTTTAAATCATTCAAATGCGGGGATTATAGGGCACATTTTCACACAGTACTCTCACCTGGAAGGCTTTCGTAGTGTTGCATTCGGTTGTTCACATAAAAAGTGACATAAATAGTTGTGATGAATGAAAAAAGGAGAACTTGAGAGAGAGAAGTTGGCTCTTTTATCGCCCCCACAACCACAATGTAAAGTGGGATTGTCAGTTTCAGAAAGTTACAGAAATTGTCACACACAGACAGGTGTGTGTGTGTGTGTGTGTGTGTGTGTGTGTGTGTGTGTGTGTGTGTGTGTGTTTGACAAGCAGTTCTGATAAGGCATACAGGCAGCACTTGTGTCCATTCCAGTGGAATAAGGACACTTTTTTGATTAATGTATTAATATTTTCAGAGGAAATATGTGTGCTTACTTGTACAGGATGATATACTGTATAATACATGTATATTTGAAGTTTCACTTGGCTGAAACTGTTTTTTTTTTACCTTTAGGAAAAGCAGCATATAGTCCACAAATGGTAAACAGTAAAGATACACAGCTGAAAATAAATTAAAAGAGCCCTGTTTTTGCTCCGAGATGGGTTTGTGAATCACTGTCAATTACTGTAAATGCTGTCGTCTACTTTGGATTTCGCTCTGGACACCGTCTATTACATTTCTGGATGAAAAAACTAATTATGAAAGCACTGTTATGTGGATCTGTTTTCCAAAAGTCCATTGATGCCCATGCCTGGGTGTGTGTTTTTTTTTACCTTCAATGTTCTTTGTCGAAGCTCTTTCAAGAGATATATAAAAAAAATACACAGCATTTCTAACAAGGACAGGCTCCTCAGAGATTTGAGTCATGTACATCGATGGGTTTGTTTGGCTCTGGCTGTGTTCTGATTATAATCCTGCTTCTTTTCTTCATGCCTTGACAAAACCACTCACCAGTCTCACTCAGTAATCTGCTCTGTACTTGTGGTTTTCCAACCCTTTCTCTGAGGACAGAGTAATACATACTGGACCATTTACTAATACATTTGTTAAAACCGCTTCATAGACTAAAATTACCTCAAGGCTACCAAGAAATGTTACTTTATCCAGGTTGTTTCACATCACCAGTGAAATCAAGAATTATTTATGTAGAGAAAAAAACACCAGTATTTAAAAGGGAGGACAAATTATAATCTGGTTTGCCCATTATGGGCTACTGTAGAAACATGGCGGCCTCAGTGGAAGAGGAACCGCAGGCCGTGGCGTCTGTAGATAAACATAATGAAAACGTACAACTGAAAATTACATTCCACTTCTGCCAGTAGATCCTGCTGGACCTTTAACTTATACAAAGAAGAGTTTTCTCATAAAAACATAAGCCTATGGCCAGACATGTTAACCCTATCAGCCCCCAACAGCGTTCTGCCTCTTGAAACTCATCGTTTCATGTTAGGCTGGCACGTGACATGATTGGTGTATCAACATAAAAAACCAACAGACTTAATTCTTAAGAGCAAAACCAGTTAATTCCACTAAAACCTCACAGATTTCACTGATAAATTGCACTGTTCTGTCACAAACATTTTTAAAGCAAACCTAAATTTTGCATATAATATATATAAAATACACCACAAATCTGTAATCTAATTATTCACTTTAAATATTTCATCATATTCAAGCCCTGTTATTTTGTTATTCATGGAAAAATGCAATACAATAGCTGAAGGTAATAAGAGACTTTGGGAGGCAAAGCTCAACCTCAACCAAGTTTTTATTCAAATTTTTGATTTGAAACCTGTATTTCCATCATCTCGAAGTCTTCTTACCGTCTTTTACCGCTACATTGCTGCCTTTTGGGGCACATTACCAACTCTGCACCAATTCTGCGGCAGACAGAAATGTGTATCAGATCATCCTTATCTTTACAGCACATGCTGGTAGAACATGTGATACAAAGAACATGGCATCTGCTCTCCAGCGCCAATAGTACAAAACACTCCACGGGTGCCTTTTGAAGAAAGGTTTTATTCAGTGTTGGTTCTTGTGGGTCGTGTGGAGGATATAGAAGAACAAAAATGAATTCAAGGTTTGGCTTCACAACAATACATTCAAACATTCCAGTTATGAAATGCAGTCACGAAGTCTTTCTAGTTGATTCCTCCGTCTTTCTTTTCTCCCTTTTATCCTTCTTCCGCTCTGTCTTTATTCATAGCAGGAATTAATCTGGTGTCAAGGTGTGTGTAATTACAGTGGAAGCTCTTCTGCGGGCGACGCAGACACACACACATGCACACGATGCAGACGGAGAGCGGTGCTTCCAGCTGGAGCCCCACTGCTGTCTGTGTGATGAGGAAAAAGTAGGTCTCTCATCTTGTTAATCACACATATGGAGCTCGCTGCTAGATGAAGGTGTTGATTAGACACGTTGGTAAGAGTATAAGAGAGGTGTAGCTCTGCCTTAGGATTTTTATGTTGAGGGGATTTACAGGTCAGCCCAAAGTCTGTGCAAATACTCTCTGCTAATCAGATTGTGTTTCCATGTTATTACATAATAGGATTCTATTGATTTGGTGTGAAAATTACACAAAAAGGGTCCTGCAAAGATAACATTTATGTGTTTGTAATGTCTATAAACAGCCTGACAGCAGCATACATTTTCTATACCACTTTATTTAGAGGTAAAACTGTGAGTGAGCACACCAAAAATGTTAGTAAGAACCCCTAATTGCACAGGAAATGAGGTATGATGGCCAAAACCCTGCAAGGGCCAAATTGTAATGAAAACAAATTATTGTTTAATATTAAGCACAAAAACGAAGAAGAAAAGTATTAATGTTGCGTGCATTAGACACATCTGAGCAGTGCAAAGTGCTTTAATGTCAGCAGCACCATATGCACTAAATAAAAGTTCCAATTTAGTTTGTCTTCCACTCTCTCTCTCTGGCACTCTAAGTATACTAGTAATATGCAGTTTATTTAAACATCAATAACCAAAAGAAATGCCATCCCTTATCCAGATCTAATCTGTAAACAGTTACACTATCACTGCTTCTCGGGAATCGGACATTCCAGCATCTGGTTTGTATCTGCTGCTATGGGAAACAGCACAAACTATCAGAGAAACAGGGGCTCGATCCATAACATTTTTATCCAATTTTAGGTCCCATGGCTTCAAGTTTAATCCATAAGGGCTGCATGTGTGTTATTTTCTTGCAGGGTGAGGTGGATTGGTTTCCAGTAGAAAACACTGGTGTGGGTGGGAGTGATCAGGATCTCCATGGGAGTGGGTGGGAGTGGGATGATGCATCTGCAGGAGTTTGAGCTGCAATGATTGGAAATCCTGCAGGACTGGCCCCATTGAGGATTTTTTTCACTTGATTAATTATTGCACTAACCTTTAACCCTGTTATAGCTAATTTATAGCTTATCTGATGAATACAAGCCCCTTTCCCACAAAAGAAAAAAAAAGTTTCTCATGTGCAGGTTGAGAAGTTAAGAAAATCCTGACAATGTGAGATAATTTTCCTCTGCACTGCCGCTGCCTCTCGTGTTTCTCAGCAGAGGCCATGTGACAGCAGATCCAAGCAAGCAGGCGGCGGAGAGCACTTGCATAGAAAACACTGCACAGGAGCATTCACGCACAATTACGCATGTATTCATGCACACACTAATGTATCACTCTATGCATGAGAGCGAACATGCTTTACTAGCACGTAGCTACTCTTTGCTATTTTGTCTGTGTATATGCTCCCTCTGTCTTGATCTCGGCCATCTCTTTCGCTAACTAAAGGCCGGTGATGTGTGAAACTGAGATGTGCAGCATGTGACTCCATTAATGAATGAATAGCTCTCAGCATAGAGTACGTGTGCTTGCATATGTGTGTGTGTTTGTGTCTGTGTGTGTGTCTTGAGTACGGTGGAATTAATACTCCCTTTGATCCCCTCTTGCAGATCACTCAGTACTATGGATGGCTATGCATATTGTGTGTGTGTGTGTGTGTGTGTGTGTGTGTGTGTGTCAGAGAGAGAGAGAGAGTGCAGAAGAGAGGGGGTGTTAGCAAATCTCTCTCATTCAGCAGCTAGCTACTGTTTGATATATCATTCAACTGAAAATGAGTCTTGGCGGAGGGGAGGGAGGAGTGAGGAGAATGAAGCAGGATCAAGGCAGAAAAGTGGAGCTGACAGAGATGAAGCGAGGCGGTATGAGACAAATTCGGAAGAAAAAAAGATATAAGAGGGGATAAAGGAAGGAGGAAAAAGAGAGTTGACGGAGAAGGATGAAACAGTTACAGAACAGGAGGAAAGAGGCCACTGCTGAGGATAATTAGGATCTAGGACCTACGTACATTTCCTCTCCATTGATTAACTATGAATGGAGCTCAGCAGTGCAGTTCAACAAGGCAAATGCAGGTCACTCTGTATGTTTGTGTGTGCGCGTGCTTCGTTCTAGCCTCCATTGTTCACCCGAACACACATTTGTGGTCGAACAGAATCACTGGCTGTGCCTAAACATCCTGAGTGAAGCACAGTGATCTGCGAAGAGTCACGTGATCGTTTCTGCTCCAAGGAGCACACACTCTAGTAGTCAGTACTCCAGTGGTAGCTGTGCTCATATTAATAAAGAGAAGAGGGAGAAAGAAAAGGAGGAAAAGGATTTTACTATTGAGGACAAGAGGTTGTACTATTGTCTTTTGCTGTTTCCAGGCAGTAAAAGGCAACAGTACCAATTCAGGTACAAGTACAAAATGGTTTGTGTTGCCATTTCTCATCAATAATAACTTTATTCATATGGCACTTATCTAAACAAGGCTACAAAGCAGCATGTTAAAACACTATTGTTACATGCTAGATGTCAGTATTCTAACTCCACATGTTGCATCACATCACTGCCAACTTGCCTAAGAACGGTAGTTGTAAGAATAGCAAGGTTTAGCAAATAACAAAATACATTTTTCAATCAATTATTTACATTTTTTTCCACTCCCGGTCTGAAGTTACAGGATAAGGATCCTAATCATGTCGCCATTTTTAGTGACATTTAGTCTTGTTTACCCTTCAAACCAAAAAAAAATAACTCAATAATATGTTTTGTGAGTCACATGGTCTGCAAGGGCTCCATGGCTGTACAGCAAATGTGACCATGTGGCAGCTGACATTGTCTTCTGTCCTAGATGAGGCCTTGGAAACACAGAGTTGTGTGTGTTTATTTGGGGGTTAAATCGGGAGGGAGGCAGCAGCAGCACAGAGGTACTAGTTTCTCCTGAGGCCATGGTCCATCTGGGAGAAAAAACACAGAGCCGGCATAATGCATTTTCTTTTTTTAATCTTTAATTTTTTATCTTTCCTTGTGTTCATCACCATGCTGTCACAGAAGCACCGCATCACGTTTATATTTTTCTTGCTGGACCCTGAAATGTATGTTTCCTTGATCATGCTTACTAAACAAAGGTTTATGCATTACTAAATAAAACCTGGATGCACACAAACTATTATGTACAAATACCTAAATAAATATTGTTTAACTACACCCAGTAAGGTGTAACAGTCGCATAGCTGACTGAACTGATGACATGTTAGCTTGCGAATAGTAGCTTGAATAAAAGAAGTATTTTTGAATATGTGTGACATATCTGACCCAACATAAAAATTTTTATTGGTTTTACAAAAATAACACAGGCTATGGCTCAAATTAAAAACCATTATACCACACATATTTGTATCCAGATGAATATAATACAGTAATACCTATATTTACAAGGACGGTTTGTGACAAATTGACAATATGAGACCATAGATATGTCCTAGTGACTGATTTACACATTACTAACTCACTTGTTTGATCGTCGCTAGAAGTGACTTAAAAGTAACTACGAACTTTAATTTAGGATCTATTGACAGAAATGGAAAATAATATTCATAGGTTTATTTATATGAGTGTACAATCACCTGAATATAAGAATGGTTGTGTTTTCGTTACCTTCAGATGAGGTGTTTTTCCTACAGAGAGAGCAGGTCCGCCATGTTGAACTACCATGTTTCTACAGTAGCTCAGAATGGACAAACACTGGCTGTCTATAGGGCTTTTTGCGAGTTTCAAGGCCGCCACAGTTTCTCTTACATGCATGGAAGCAGAGTATCCACTTCACCACTAGATGCCACTAAATCCTACACACTGGTCCTTTAAAGACAAATGTATTATTAGATTTACGAATACCTTTTTAATATTTTTTTTTTTTGGAGCTGCATGTACAATAATACTGCTGTATTTCAAATTCATGACGAGTGCAATGCTTTTGAAAGTGAAAGACAATCTTGTTTTCGCCAGGGGTGTTTTGTAGAGCGGGCCTGTGTGCTTCGGATCCCATGAGAGACCAGTCCATAACTCTGACTGTGTGCCAGGGCCTCCACAAACTATCGATTCTCTGGTGCACTTTAGATGTAACCCAACTCTCGGCCCCCATCCATCCTCTCAGCCCCCTCTGCATCCCGCTGCAGCATCCAAAACTGCCTTCTAGGGTCTAACTGGAAATTATTGATCCTGGCATGGACCATCTTATTATGATGTGTTTTATGACTCTCTGGATGGGAGCTTTATTGTTTTAGTGGCCCGCATCTGGTTTCTGATGATGGACTTGATGAGGTCAGGGTAGGGGGAGAGGAGAGGAGAGGAGACGAGAGGAGAGGAAAGGGTGAGGGAGGCAGAAGTGAAGAGAAAAACAAAGAGAACAATAGAGAAAGAAAGAGATGGAGTGATGTGTTAGTGGGAAGAGTTTAATCGATACTCTAAAGCATGACATCATCGTTTAGCTAGTCTGGAGGGACATCAGGCGCTCTGCCAGTAACCGACAACAGCCAGACCCCGGCCATGAATCATTAATGTCATCCTCTCATCCCTCCCTCTACGTTGGGCCGGTCTGATGTTACAGGCCAGGGCACCTTCAAGCCAAGCAATGTGTTTGTCAACAACAACAACGGATTTAAAATGCTGCTGTTGTTGTGTTGAACTAATTAAGAAGAATGGAGCAAAACACACACTACCACACACAGCTGTACAGTACATACCATTACTACTACTAGCGCTGTACCATTAGGTATTTTAGATAATGTTTTTGCAATTATTTATATTTAATTTATGGTTTTGTATAACTTTGGCATTAGTAGCAGTAAAAGTAGTTGTAATTGAAAGTAGGACTTAAAGGACCAGTGTGTGGGAATCAGTGGAAGCTCTCTCCTGGCTCCTCATCTCCTCCAGGTGTATATAAGGGGTTGTAACAATTTCAGGGTCACAGGAGGAGAGAGGACACGAAGAAGCATACGTTAGCGTAATGAAAACCAGCCATAGACATGCTGTTACTAATACTACTAACATAGTACTACCCATTAGGGCTGGGTACTGAAACCTGATGCCAATATGCCACGGGTTCCTCGGTCAAGTACAGGCAACAGAGGCATCACCGCATGTTTACACTACAGTAAGACACTACATGGCTCTGGCAGCAGATAGCCTACCACTAACTAGTATCTACATTAATACGGTTAAAATGCCGAGCTAAATGGTCTAAAGTGTGGCTGTAGTTCACGTCTCAATCTAAGGTAGCACATTCAGGTCATTATACACTGAATAAAACATACCTATGGATATTATGTTCCTTTTCTGCCAATAGATCCTCCTATACGGACCTTTAGAGAACTATATTCAGGTCTTATATAAACCTACAACTCATCTACAAAATCAGTTTTTCAATCATTGTGAAACACAAAATATTATATAAAATATTATTATTATATTATTCTAATTGTATGCCATATTTTTCATTTTTCACATTTTAAGGAATTAAAATGGAGAAATGGAGGACATCCACACAACACCACAGCCACATGCTAAATTAAGCAACCCTATTAGATGGTAAACAGGAGACATCCTCTACCTCACCCGACTGACCTCTAGACGGGACAGGACGTCTCGTCAAGAGGTCATTTATAAAAACACACACGCAAAGATGCAAAAGATAGACCAGACATACCCACACACCCAAAGACATACACATGCACAGACAGAGAGACGAAGAAAGGGAGAGTCCGTGAATGGGGAGAGGAAGAGGTTAGTATTCCCGCTGTCTGGTGGTAAATTGGTCTCAAATCGATTATTAATGAAGCAGGGAGAGCCCCTTGTAACCCAGTACTCTCACCCATTTTAACTTTAATGATCCAGGCACATCCGAACTGCTGTGTATCCTTACTCTTTGAGTTGAACGGATAGACAGGCTGGTAGACAGACAGACACTCTAGATACAGAGAGATACTGCATATTGTATTATATAAAATCCTGGTCAGCAACAATATTCTAAATTATTTTATTTATGTTAAAGTTTTATGATGGTGGTCTAAGGGGAAAATGCTTTTTTGACTACAGGGGATTTTTGCAGTCCTGCAAGTGGTCAGTGGGACAAATTGGCAGCAAGACTGAGTGCCGTATCCAGCTCTCTTCATCCATGGTCAGTGTAAGGATATCAGTGGGTGTAATGTGAGATCTTTTAGTGCACCTTGTCAAAAGCCTGGCAGTTGCACTCTGGACCACTTGTAAACGATCCAAGGAAGTCCTGCTAATGGAAGTAAAACGAGAGGGATCAAATGAATTCAAGATTATAGTCCACAGCCATGCTAGCAGTTCTGTGAGGCTGTACTTGGACACGGTGGTGCTTTGAGCGAAACGCTAAAGTCAGTAAGCTCGTGATGACAATGCTAACATGCTGATGTTTGGCAGGTATATTCATGTTCAAGGAAATCTATTTATCATTATACAACACAAGGTTGTATAACAAAATGAACGTTTGCTGTCCTTTATGCTGCACACATAGAAAAAGATAATTCAATTCATAGAGTAACATATGAATAAGCAATATATAGTTATTTATATACATACACATAAACAACTTTTGAATTTGCGTCTTGAAATTTACCAGGTCACCATCTTAGTGAAGGTTGTTATCATGCTAACATTTGCTAATTAGCACTAAACACCAAGTACAGCTGAGGAAAATGAGATGTTTTTAGTTTCATTTATCACCATCCGTCACTGGCAAATTTCAACCAATCAGATCAGTGAACCATATAACGTAGTCAAACTCTTACCAAAGTCAGTCGGAACAAGAGCGAAAACATCTTTTCCCTCGAGAAAAACCTTCTGTGGCATTTTTTTACTTTTTTCCAATGAAGAAATGCTTTTCAGTTCTGATTTAAGCAATATTTACACTTACCTATTTAGCAGCCGCCATTGTTGTTTTTGAGCAGTCACATGTCGTCACCATGCCATATCGTAGCTGCAAAGTAGTTCCTCAAAGGATGCTGACTGGTCAGAACCACTGTGGCTCGGAGAGACGTGCATTGTTTAAAGCCTGGCAAGATGGATTGTTGCGTTATCTCATGCGTTTGTGATCTTGCGAGTTCTTGCACTTTTATGGCTCTTTTTAGCTTTTCTAGCTTGAGTGATATAAGCGTACAGTAATTGCTCCAGATGTAACTGAGCCAATGAAGCAGCGGCAACCTCCGTTTTTAAAAACCCATGTGAAACATTAGTAAGAGCCCGTAACATTTGGCTACAAAAATTTTGACAAAACACAAACCAACAGCTAGTCCAGGCATTAAACATTGTATGTTGTGCAGAAGTGATGCTGTTATACCAACGGCGGGCTGGCTTACTTCCCTTCAGCCGGTCCAATTGGCGGTGCAAATGCAAACTGAAAAAAGCCCTTGAAGGTTGTTCTCAGGGGAGCTCCCTAGTGGACAATTCCTCTCAGTCCCCAGAACAGTTTGGTCCAAAAACGCCAAATGATCCTCAGGTGGATAAAAAACAGAAGCCAAGCGCTTGACATGCTAGTCAAAATAAGTTAACAGTGAACTCTTAGTCATTAAAGGTAAGAGCCTCGCTCACCTTCAGGACCGTGCCCGCCTGGGGGTACAAATAACAACATCAGCTGTAAGCAAGAGTTGCAAAATGTTGCAGACTCATCTTTTTACATGTGGGATCAAAGGCTTCCCACAGTAGCCGCTGGAGTATCTAAGAAAACCCCCCTTGGATATCTTCTTCACAGGCTTAAAGAGGTGAGATGTCACTGTATATCCACAAAGGTTAATCACTGCCACACACTCACACAGACACCAAAACACATAAGCACATGTTTCTGTACACAAACAAATGTGTACATGCATAGGTACTTATACTCTCACACATAAACACACTTCACCACAGTTATTGCTGTGCCGCAGTTACCATAGTGACAGGGTGACAGAATATTGAGCTCTGTGTGTGTGTGTGTGTGTGTGTGTGTGTGCGTGTGTGCATTTTGTCACACACACTCACAGATTGTGTTGAGTGTTGATTTGTGAGGATTTCATCAGTGCCGGTGTGTGTGTTTGTGTGCCAGTCTCATTGTGTGCCTTTGCTTGTGTGAGTTACTCTGTCTTTGAGTGTGTGTGTGTGTGTGTGTGTGTGTGTGTGTGTGTGTGTGTGTGTGTGGATGACAGAACAGAGGAAACACTTCAGCTCGTCTGTCGGCACTCCAACCAGAAATAGGCCTTATGAACACCTACTCACCAGATAAGGGCCTCTTTTCCATTGAGCCCCAGACTGAAAATCACTCTGACTAAAGGATTACTCATTTTCTCCCCCTGAATCAATCAGCTGAGGGCTGTTGACTTTTGCAAACCACAAGTTTTAATAGGAGAAAATACCAAACTAAGCAATTTATTGCACTAGCTGAAACATGACATTTCTACAGACAAGAATGTATTCTACACTACACAAAACATCAGTTTTAACAAAGATTACGTAACTTATTATACTCATTTTTAAGTTCATGCTTTTATTTTGGGGCTCTACTAGAATAAGTTCATATCCTTAAATGTTCAAATAACTAATATTATTTTTTCTTATACTGTGTTCTGTCATAAACACTCAGTTTTAGCTCCTGTTTCTGTAAGCCCCCCTCCAGAGGGGCCCGTTCTCCTATAATTGGTCAGCTCCCAAAGCCCTGAGCAGGCACAGCACCTCACAGCTCTGCCGGTGGTTGCAGCTAAGGAAACACAGTAATTGAGTTTATCTGCACTTACATCACCACAATGACTGCTTCTAAACTTCACCACCACACGTGTGAAAGTAAGAATCTGATCTGTATTATTAGCCTCACTGCCCTGCAGGCTACAAAGGTTACAGCTTTATGGTCTGACCAGGCTAGCTGCTGGGTACTAATCAAAGTCACAAAACATTGCCAAGCATATGAATTCCATTTATTTTTCACATGTAGCTATATTGTTAGCTTCACGACATGTCTATCAAGTACAAAAAAGTGAATCCAGAGACTTTCGACATGCGTTCGTATGGCTCAGGTTCCACTTGGGGAGTTGCTAAATGTCCCACATTTTTCACATATATTTTATAATATAAGGTATCAGAAATGTTGTCATTGTAATCCGTACATAATGTGATTTGTTTGTCTGTTCTGTACATGCAACATCTATTGCCTGTCTGTCCTAGGAGAGAGATTCCTCATCTGTTGCTCTTCCTCAGGTTTCTTTATTCTTAATTTTTTCTCTGTTAAAAGTGTTTGGGAATTATTGTAGGAGTTTTCCCTCCCCATAATCGAGGGTCTAAGGACAGAGGATGCTGTACACTAACACAGAGGCAAATTGTGCCACATGAGGCAAAACATTTTTTTTTTTTTTTTTGGGCTATATAAATAAAAACTGATTTGATTGTGATCATTCAATTTGTAGAGAAGGAACACACTGTAACATTGACATAATTTGTCCACAAAAGCGACCACATAAAATGTAAAATGTCACTGTAACGGAGGACACCTGCTGCATTTCCCATTGGCACCCACACATTTCACATTGTGTAACACATGTTGAGCAGCTTGGCTGTTTGATACTGATTCGGCATAACACGTGAAACTGACTTTCTGTTTTGTCTCTCTCTCTCTCTCTCTCTCTCTCTCTCTTCCTCTCTCAGACGGCTGGTGGTTGCGATATTGTCTCTTCCTCGCCATGTTAGCGACAGCATGTGACAGGGTCAAGTCAAATGTGACCTGTCGCTCTCTCAGCTAACAAGCCACACTCACTTCTGACAGTGACACATGGTGTGCTCTTTGAGTTGAAAACAGATCATTCTTGGAAGATTTTCTGCTGTGGGCAAGAGAGGAGAGGATCCACATGTTATACCATGCAACAGAATAGTTGTATTTTGTGCCTCGTTTTTCTCAGCGTTTGTATAGGTCTTGTCATTGTGTATGTTTATCTTCGTCTCTGTCTCCTACTGTCACCCTGTCTCGCCTTTTATCTTCTTAAATTCATATTTCAGATTCAATTTTTATTTGCATGTAAGGGGGCTAACGTTTGCAGTCTTGCTCAGCAATCTGTGAACATGTTAAGGAATTCATGAGTACATTCCCAAACAGCAGAATCTCATCATAGGGAGCATTATCAGCTTCTGGAGCTTTTGATTGTATCACACATTTTTCCTCAGCAGATTAAATGTGTTTTTTGTCTTTCAGTTGTTTAAGCCAATGTGGGTGAAAAGTCCTTAAAACATTCAGAAAATTGGAAATTTTAACATCTACAATTCCATGACACTTAGGCAAATTTCCTCTGCTGATGAAGACCATGAGATATGATGGAAAGCTCCAGAGCAGCTACTAATGGACCTTGTAGTGATATATTGTTTTGACAACTGCCTTTTCCAGGGTCAAAAATTAGCTTTCATAGAGAGAAATTAGATATATGGTCTTTTGTGAAGCACTTTTAACCCTGGTTCTGAAATATCTTAATAACTTACTTACTCACTATGTAGTTCAACAATCAAATGTAATGATAATCGTGAAGACCATAAGAAATAAAATCCAAAACAAGGAAGATTTTGAAGGAGTTTTTGATAACCACTGGTTTTCATGTCTTGATGCATGCTGCAGTGTAACAGGAACTGTCTCTACCTTGTGTTTTTGTCAGACTGATTCTCTCTCTCTGTCTGTCTCTCTGTCTGTCTGCCTCTGACTAATTCTCTGACTGTGGGAAAGTCTTGGCCTGTCCTTGGCCTGGTGCGACAGATTCCACCATGTGATCGGAGGCGACAGATTCCCTGCATATCAGACGACTCGGGTGTCCACGTCCGCTTCCTGCCCTCTCGGACAGCACACGCTCACACAGCACACACACACATACTGACACCTAAACCCCAGTGTCCAATCTGCCTTCCTGTCCTGTGCTCAGGGCTAGTGGCCCAGTCCAGGTCTACACAGCTGCCAGTTGTCTCAGGTTGCAGCACTCAGCCTGAAAATAGATGCTATGACCATTAACATCCAACATGCTAACCACCGAGCTTCCTGTTAAAGCAATGATGGGCGCGTCGGGTTACAGAGAGAGCAGATGAGCTACTTATACTACTTATAGTGAAATAAAATAGAATAGAATAGAAAAGGCTCATGAGACTATGGTTCAGTATCGAAACCAGACTAAATCACAGCGCAGATGTAAGTGCTTATAAGAAATATAACTAGTTTACATTACAGCAAAACTCTTTCAACATGGCTCTGGCAGCAGGTAGTCTACCACCAGCTAGTAGCTACCTTAAATGATGTTAAGATGCCGGTCTTAAGTGCAGCTTTATTTCACTTGACACTGGGCTGCACATGCAACAAATTACATAAAAAGTGGGAACAGGATACATTTGAAAGTAGAGAGATGCACCGTTCATGACTGCTTGTGCGATCCCATGCCAAGCACATCAGCCAGCAGTGGCCTGGCCCTGCCGGTGTGGTGCATAGACATAAACGCTAGATGCGGCATGACTTGCGATTTATATCTATGATGGGGAGACCGCTGTTGTTAGCGGTCAGAGTCAGCTAATAGGATGGCTTCACGGCTAATTGAGCTAACAGGCTAAGGGCAGCTGCAGTTAGTCGTTAGTTACTTATGCAAGAAGTAAAGCTATCTGTCCATCAGCAAACTCCATAAATCACAGAGAGTTGAGGCAGAGCAGCCGGAGGACATCAGAGGGAAAATATGCAACTTTCCTTCACAACCAACAAAAGCACTTTCTGCAAGACACGACATACAAAAACCTGTAGCACAGCAGTCGAATAACAGACTGAGCAGCTGGATGGGCCCTGCACTTTGTGGGTGCTCAGCTGTGCTGTGTCTGGAGCATATCATAAATATATAAAGAAATCCATGGTCTTACCTAAGCTCATCATGAGAGGAAATAAAAACTTAAAATTAAATCAAAATGAAAGCATTCCCTTCAGAGGAGTCTGAAGCCTAAGTTGTTTGCTCACAGCAAATAGTTTAGAATTATTTGAACCGTTTAAGATGATCATCCCACAGTGTAACATTATACATATGACAGAAAATAAGGGAAAGCATAGAAAGTCCCCTTTAAATGTGTTTTTTCAACCAGGCTATATTTAGTAGGTGTAATTTACAGAGCTATTACTTATAGTGCAGGAATCCCTCATCTACTTAAAGGGATTCCTCTTAGTATGATGATAGAAACTAATCTGTGTGCGTGTGTGTGTGTGTGTGTGTGTGTGTGTGTGTGTGTGTGTGTGTGTGTGTGTGTGTGTGTGTGTGTGTGTGCGAAATCTCACACACAGATGCAGATATCTCAGCTGCTGTGTTGTAAAGCCCAGATTCATGTTTGCCAATAAGTAGCACTGACACAGAGCCTGGGCCGCAACACGACCAGGGGATTTGTAGATCATTAGTAGCCCCGGCGCACACACACACACACACACACACACACACACACACACACACTCAGTGTCCTGTGTCTCTTGCAGGAAATGACTTGTTGACATCCTGATTCTGAGCGCTGCATCTTTAGCTCTCCCCAGAGATAATGGACACTAATGAGGTGAGGCAGACAGAAGCAAAGAGTCACAGAGAGAGGGACACCAGATGAGAAGAAAATAAAGAGGAGAGAGAAAGAGGGAGGACTTCATAAAAAAAGCGTTAGTCACATGAAAGAAAAAAAGAGATACGGGATGAATTAGCCAAAGAGACAATTAAGAGCATTTGAATGAAACAAGAACACCCTGTGAGCACATAATGAGATTACAATGTGGAAAGAACATTCATGATTATTTTGAATCCACCAGAGCTTTCATCCCCGTTGATGCTAAAATGCGTGTACTCCTCAATAATAAAGCACTTGACATGCAGTCCGCACACATTTGCTTGGTCTGAACAACAAAGACAGACAATGGATTTGATACCCACTCATCGTTTGACTTGTTTTTGCCTGTCAGTGTTTAGTGTTTGGTGATGAGGAAACATTTTTAAAGAACGTGTCTGCATTGTTGCAAAATGTTCTTGACCATATCCGCAAAATGTTTACAATGTATGTTGTTTGTTTTGCCTACAATATTTCCGCTCTTATAATAGCCACTTGTATCAACTACACCTTGGAAAATTATTGCTATAATTTATGGTTATGTTTAAGGGACTAAATGAAAAATCAGCTCCTGCACACTGTCAACCCTTATAGTGAATTGTTGGTCCAGTGACCATCATCATTGTATGATTCGCAGAGAGAGTGTATGGGGCGTTTTAGTTAATATGATAATAAAACCCCCCAAAAGCTAGATCCTACACTTCCCATAATACATATATATATAATCTACATAACTCTGTAGTCATTTTTCAAAATCCATACTCCCAGTAATACAGGCTTTTCTGTCAAACTTTTCTGCCCAAGCCAAGATACCCAAGTGATGTCATTGTCTCAGACTTTGCAAGGCTCCTCCAGAGCCACAGAGGACATTACACAACTGTATGCACAGGCTGAGTAGTAGTACTAGTACAATTGACTCTGACATGTAAAATCGGTCACATGCCCTTAATTCGATTTCTCTTTCATTCATACAAGTTTGAGACTTACATGTCCTCGGCACCATGTGTACTAAATCTAAAAAACAGCCATCTACATATTGTATGACTTTTGGCAGGTAAAGCTGAGAAATCGATGGTTATGCAATACTATGTTTCTTTCTTTTCATCAGAGCTGCTATTTTAAAACAGCGCTATGAATAAACAGCCTTCAGTGAGCCTTTGTGAAGGACACAGCTTAAAATCAGCCTTTCTGTCAGTGTGTTTGTAACTCTGAGCTGTAAAACTAAAGGTGTCTGAATTCCAGTACAATGGGGAGAACCAGGCTCTCATCTGCAGAGAACATTTCACACAGATGTTGAGAAAAGTAGAAATGCATTTATTCAGCAAACACACAACTCAACCTCCTCCATATCTATTTAAATCTGCGAGGAACAGAGGACAAAACTGAAATGTAAGATGTGAATAATTGGTGGAAGTTGTACTAATATGCATATTTATTACATTCTTGTGTGTGAAGTCTACTCTGCAGGGAACCCTGTAGCGTTATGTAACACAATGCAGTTCAGGCCGTCGTACAGTACAAACAACATAGTGTGGAGTTTAAAATTTAGGGCAGAGGAGGAATGCTTTCTGAGCTTCAGCACATCAGGGAGAAGTGCTTATTGGAGGATTAAAGAGTAGCTTCTTAAATCTTAATTCACTCAGGGGTACAGGCTATGAACTCTTTTCAACCCGCACAACTGATGCTAGCCAGGCTAATTTCACTCTCTCTAACTGCCAGTGAGCTGTGATGAGTGCCTTGCTCAACAGCACCTCAGCATAAGTTGAAGGGATAGTGCCACATTTCGGGCAATACGCTTATTTGTTGTCTTTCTGTGATGAAAAGCTCAATACCTCTCTCAAGTTTGTGCATTAAATAGCTAGTGTAGCGTTAAAAGTGGTGTTTATGGATCTGGAGCCAGAAGGATTAGCCTAGCTTAGCATAATGACTGGAAGCAAGGGGGAACAGCTAGCCTAGCTCTGTACAAAGTAAAAAAAAAAATCTCCAAACTAACCTGTTATATTTCGTTTGTTTAATCCGTACACGTACAGAAATGTTTTAAGAGGAGTTAAGTTAACTACTTATTGAAAACCAACAGTTGTTGGCTGTTGTTAACATGACTTTAACTTCATGCTAACAACAACACTCTGGGACATTACTTGCACCTGGCTGTTGTTAGAAATAATGAGGCTACAA